AATCTTCAATGCTTGGACTTCCACAAGAGCACTTAATTTGCTGAAAATAAACCAAATCTGCATGTTCTCTTCGCCACTTTCCTACTGTACCAAGGGTCCAAAGTTGTGGATTGTCCCATCCGTCCATCCATCTATCCATGTGGAGAGCTCTCCCAAGTCGCCACTGACAAGCTTTTCTTGCTCGTCGAGATTGTCAAGGTCAAATAAGCAAGGCCTTGTTACCAAGAAATGATCTTCAAGTGATGGTTCTTACTCAGTACACCATTGGTATACGCGCTCGAGACAGGGTTAGCTTACTGTCACTGTGGCAGTGAATTCCTTAGCGGAGAGAATGATAGCACATCCGCATCTCCAACAACCGATATATTCTCAAACTCTCTCGACTCTCAGACTCTCAGACCTCGTGCTAGAGGATCAAGTTCTCCAGAAAAACTTCTTGTTAACCCAAGAAGCTTTGCCAGTCAACGATCAATGAGTAACCGATCGGGACTACTTAGCATTGTCCCGCACACTTACATCACGAGAAACTTTAAAATGCCCCTCATTACTCTTCAATTCCAAAAAGAACGATAGTACCGTAGATTTTAATTTTGGGCCAGATTTGATTCGATGATCGAAAGTATGTATGCAATCCTGAAAAAGGGTCCTTTAGATCTTGAGCTTCGTACCCAGTCAATTGATCTTTTACAAAAAAATTCTTTACAAAAGTCGTAAGTATTAAACTTCACTGTTTCAGGTACCCATCGATCCTCAATCAAACGATGTTTGAGAGCTAGGACCCTATACTGCGTCGAATCAATTATCACTCTTCTGCATTGTCTACTGAAATCTGTTGGCAGATCATCATCCCGAGGGGAGACGAAGCAGTTGTAAATAGAGCTTTTACGGTTGCGACTCTTCACGACAAAGATAATCAAAATAAACAACATTATTGTGTGGAGATAAGCGTGATGACCACTCAATGCGGATCGGTACGTTCTCTCGCTGTCGAACATGTGGAGGGAAATTTGAGGCGCAACAATAATGAAGAGACAACAGGCACAGAGTTGGTTCTGGCAGAGCTTGGGGCGGTTGATTTGCTCCGGCAAGACAGCAGGCCCTCCTTCATCGTTGATATGTCAATAGAAAACGAGATTTGTGCACTTCCTGTAGTCTTCAAGAACGATGCTTTCAAGACTTACGCCAAATTTAAAAACGTTGCTTCATGGCTTTCAGGAAACTCATGCCAGGGTGGAAATGCATTTGTCAAATGGATACATACTCGACCCAGCAAGGCAGTCAATCAATATTGGTTTCGGCATCAAAGATGGTCCAAGGTTTTATTGGGAGATCGATGGTGTGTGGTTTCCGGTCATGAGATGGCATTTTCGAAATCAGTACAAGAAGATGCCGACGCCAATCATTGCAAGCACCTTCAATCGAGACCTGCACAAAATAAGATTTCTCCAATTGGAAATTGGAAGCCGAATCCCAATTCTCGTTGCGAAGACCGCTATTCAATTATGATGTCACCCGGCTCACATAACTCAGCTGTAGCTGCTCACGCATATTTTACACCCTCTCTATCCTTTGAGACGCCGTTTGCCAAATTCTTTTGCAGCAAAGATTGGTCTTCTACAGCTGTAGAGTCCATCTCGGAACAGCTCTTAGATATGACGAGTCTAATCTCCAACTTCAGCCAATTGTCTCCTATTGCCATGTTTATTATCGATGCAAAAGACGGAAGCTTATTATTCGCGAATGAGGCCTGGTATGTTCAGCCTAGTTATTCATATTTCCTGATATCCTGATATATGCAGATGAGACGAATCATTTGACGTCCAAATCGTTAGCTAATATGGTTTGTATTAAGGACAAGAATCACAGGCGGGACAATAGAAGAGCATTCAAATCTAAGATGGCTCGACTGTTTGATTGATGAGGATAGAGAGTTTGTCGCAGAACAATGGCGTACCCTTATAAAAGAGAAATGCCCTGTCCACTTTCAAGGAAGGTGCAAAACACTCTGGAGACCTACAGCTCCAGATCCTGCCCTATTTGAAGAGGACGAAGTCTACTATACGTGGGGCGAATGTAGTGCTGTCCCACGGCTCAATGATGAGGGGGAGGTGGAGCATGTTGTTGGATGTCTTAGTGATGTCACACACATCAAATGGGCTGCTCGAGTACAGGAAAGAAGAGAAAACGAGGCATTGAAGGAGAAAAAAGAACGAGAAGAATTCATGAACATGACGAGTCATGAGTTGATGAACCCACTATCGGCCGTCGTCCAAGCAGCACACACCATGATCTCCAGTCTCGATGAGATTAATAAAGCTCTTTCTCAAACTCATGACAACGTCCTTCATGATGACAATTCAAATAGTTACGGGGAGATTAAGTCGAAGGTACGGCGCAATATCGAAATTGCGAAAATTATTTTAGCTTGTGGAGAGCATCAGCAAAAACTGATGGAGGATGCTCGTATGATGTCTAAACTGGACATCGATCTGTTTTCAATTTCACCAACTCGAACAGAGCCAATTTGTATTGTAGATACAGCTATGTCTATGCTCTCTGGAGAAACATCTAAGTTAGATATCAATATCCGACTCGAGGTGGATCCCTCCATGGAAGCTTTGAATTCGCAATGGCTTTGCTTCGATCCTTCAAGATTTCTACAACTACTCCTCAATCTCCTGACAAATGCCAACAAATACACAAAATCATCCGAAACCCGGAATGTAGTGGTGCGTCTTGGAGCCACAACTGGATCCCCTTACCATAAAGAGATCGGGCGAGAGATACAGTACATACCTCTTCGCACAGCACGAAACGACCCGACTCTGAAAGATGCCTCGGGAACAGGAGAGATAGTATACCTTCATTGCTCAATTACCGACACCAGTAAAGGACTAAGTGAAACGGAGAGGCAGACACTCTTTAAGAAATTTTCCCAAAAGTCTTTAAGCACGCATACGCAGTATGGCGATTCTAGTCTGGGATTATTCATCTGTAGGGAGCTTGCGGAGTTACAAGGAGGTGCAATTGGCATTGGATATACGGATTCTCAAGCAACGGGTAGCACTTTCGCTTTTTATATCAAGACACGGCGATCCGAATTCAAACCGGCGGGACTACCGCTTGAGACGTCGGAGGAATCGTTTCAGCTGGATGGTCAATCTTCTATGGGCGACTTCGATGTAGAATCTGATACGGATGTCATTTCGATGTCTGAGCTGGACTTTTTAGAGTCTGAGATGACCGATGCCGAGGTTCTCAAGTATCGGGACAATGGACATATTCATAGTGCTAGCTTTCCCTAGTTTTAACAATATCAAGGATTGCAATGATGTATTTAAAATTTCAGTACTTATACTTTCAATCACTAAGTTGATATCAATATTGAAATTTGTATGGATTTTGGTGAGGAGAAAGAAGTTGATGAGAAGGACGTAAATGGGAGTGTGAGGTTGAATCCTCAAGGGGCAGAGTTTGAGTAGAAATGTCGAGTGGAAGAATCGAATCAGGAGAATGTACTAGGCAAGAGACGAAGGCAATCACATGCTATGAACCTCTTCCTGGGGTAACATGGAATTTGGAGACTTGATATCTAAGGCGGATTTTTGTTTTGGAAAATCTCGTAAGGGTATCTCTGGCTGTGTGAGATCATGCAATTGAATGAACGGACTAAGCAGTTTCAGGATGGAGAAGAATGACAAAAAAATGCAATCATTACTCACCCTAAGATTTTTCGAGAATGGCTTTTCTTTATGCTAATGTATATGTTTCGAGAAGTAACAGTCCAAAGCGGTAAGAATCTCTTTGGGATAGCACGGCGCCTTACGAGCATGCGCGAAGCATGTGCGAAGCATGTGCGATACTACTTGACACGTCGTCTCGATTTTTTTCAGGGGGACGTCGAATGGATTCGAAATTTGAATATCGATTTAGCCGCTCATGACCTGGTGGACTGTAAGGTGAAGATTACATGGATTCCAACGAACATATCAAGAAGGACTACATTTACTAGCAAGCGAAGTATTGATGGCTAGGCCTCTACCCAATATTCAAGAACCGCTTATCCAAGAATCTCTCAATCTCCAAAGTTTACATGATCGATATCTTCCTATGATATCAGATCCCCCCTCTCTCCTGAAATGACCTCCCATACAACCCCCTCCAAAACCATCTGCCTCGTAACGAGTCACCATAAGTGGGCTATCGAAAAAAAATTCACCACGACCACCTTCACAGCCGTGCAAACAAACAAGCCTAGATCGCATCGGCAGATCACCCTTTTAGGATATATATCCGACAGACTAGCCGAATCCACGACCTGTCATTTTCTGTTTTTAGGCTTCCTCTGCACACTCTCCACCAGACATCCAAAAAGATTTTCTCTGCAAATCATGTATTTTCAAGATCTCGAGTTGAAGATCGTGAATACTTTGTTTTCGATTTGATGGATCAGTGATGCGGGATTGTCATAAGTATATTCATATCTCCGCGAAGCTCTAAATCGCCTCGAAGTCGATATCGATCAATCAATATCTCTGCGCGAATAATCTCACTCGGTTACAATGCCAAGTGAAAAAGGAAGAATTATCACTCCGTCTTATGTAGAAAGAGGCACAGCAGGGTAGTTTGTAAGGCAGGAGTGGATGCGCCCAGAGTTACATTCAATACCTAATTTCATGCTTAATTTAAGGTTATGTATGATTCACGTACAACGAGTTGATATTTATCCTTATTGTCGCGCAATCTTTTATTTTTGATATTGTTTTGTTGTCGTCGTTTTTATTATTGCTGTTGGTTGTTGTTGTCGCTGTCGCTATCGCTGTTGTCGCATTCTCATTAGAATCTTCATTCGTCTCTCGTTAAATTTTTTTGGACAAGCGCACGAAAATAATTTGGAATAATTTACATGCACTGTTGCCTGCTATTCAAAACCTAGTTGTCACTCACCAACCACGACATAAAAATTCAATTCGAGTTCGATACCATACGACCGCACAAATATGAGGTCTCTCCTCATACCCTGCCTCTTCTTGGCCCCAATCCTCGCAGCACCAGCACCTTACATTGTCACAAGTTACGTCGAAGTATCCGTATACACCTACATAGAAGCCGAAACCCTTCTCAGCACCACCTATACCGAAGAAGTCGAAACAATCACCCACGGAGTTGTTCCAAATGCGACTCCCGTCACAAATGCTATCGAAACACTCACTGATACATCCGCCTATGCACACGTTACCATTGTCGAAGTAGTTCTTCCACCCGGTAGCGGTTCCCGACCAACTTCCAGCTATGATTACTATGCGACAACCACTGCTGTTCCAACCAGCTACGTGGTTCCAATCACCTACACCCCATACCCCAGCTGTACGGGCACCGCTCAGAACTGGACATATGTAACCAACGTCCCGATCTACATCCCCAGTATCGTCGCAAACGCCATTGAACCTTCGGTCTTCACCACTTCCGTATCAAAATATACCTACTACGATGATAGAGTGAGCGCCACGACATTCGTCAACGCCATTCTCAATCCCACCGATGTGGCCGCCGATACATTAGCCAGCGTTGCTGCAGACTACGAACCATATTCAATGAGTTATTGTTACACACCCACAACAACATGCACCACCATTCTCTCAACCGCAACCTGTACTCCCACATGGAGATACCCCGGCTACGATTCCACCTTGAGCGGCAGCGGTAGTTCTACATACTACGATTCGTACACCTGCGACGTGTATTGGTGTGGAGACCGCGCGATTCTGCTAATTATCATCTGTGTTCCCGTCGGCTGGGTCGTGCTTTGGTTGCTCATTGGACTTTTCGAATCCTGGCTTTCGTTCAAGGGGATCATGTTGGGGTTGAATCGCAAACGAGGAGTTCCGTATGCGTGGTGTTGTATCTTGATGCTTTTCCTGTGTTGTACGGGACCCACGTATAGAGCGAAGAGTGCGGAGGAGCAGGCACGGTTGAAGGCGCAGTGGAAGGAGATGAGTGCGGGTAAGAAGTTGGCGTTGTGGTTTAAGTGGGGTTTCAGGTGGAAGTATCCGGATATGTTGGGGGAGGAACCGGAGAAAAATAAGAGAGCTTTTAGAGAGGGATGTTTGTAGATTTCTCTGTTTACATTGGATTTCGTTTCGTATGCTGAAGTTGCTTCACTGCGTCGAATTTAATATATACATTGCTTTTACTCTCAATTCAGCAATCCAAAGTTATCATTTCAAAAGGGTAAGAAATGAGAGTTGCCTGGTTGGACGATAATTTTATGATGACGAAGTCGGTACATACCAAAAAAGTTTAGATATAGATAGACTTAGTGTCTAATTTTTAATTTAATATGTGATCAAGACAACGTCACTATCCATTATATGTTCAGAAGATTACCTAGCTCTGATTGCAGTATATCTTCCCTATCCCTTCTTCACCCCAGACATATAGTTACCAAAGTATCATATAAAAGGAAAGAACCCTCATTATACCAGTTGAAACACCCGATCTGTACCGTCCTCCAATTCAAAAATGACTCCCAGAGCTCCTAAGTAAATATGCAAAATCCAGAACTCAAAAACAATATATATAGTCCCGCGAGTAAGCAGTTCCTTCACCTACCTATCCTTCATACGTCGTGCACAATTCTCAACCTTTGATCCCATCGAAAAGCAGCAGAATATAAAAGCATCTACTTCGAATAATTTTCAGATCTAGATGTTTTCTACTGGAGTAAGATTGATCCACGATTCCATGCACAAACCCATAACGGACTGCTACAAATTCCAAAGAAGCTTTCCAGAATAACCGCAGAAACTTCAAGGTAAAGAAATGCAATACCACAAGCGCGATTATCTTTGATCATCAATTGTCTCACATCTCGACACCTCGTCGTCGATATAAGTTATCACATCAAGCTTGCTTCAAATCCAAGAATCTAGGATTTTAAAGGATTCTACGCCACAATAATAAATCCAAGGTCCAATATCCATCCATCCATACATAAATACAACTGACACTAACACAACAGAACAGAGTAAAAAACCAAAATAGCACATCCCAAAAAATTACACTCCAACAGGAATCTCAATAACTCTCCACTATCCATCCAACAAACATACTCTCCACGTGACCCTCCTCGCATTCGTTTACCAAAACAGTAAAGCGTCATCCCACTCCACTCATTCAATCACATCCCTGTATATATCTACCACCAAAGTACCTATCGTAGGTACTGGTAATAATCTTCTCAATGATGATCATCACATCACCAATTGTCACTGTACGCGCAACAATATGAAGATAACTACACATTACCTACCCACTCCAGCCATAAATCGATCCGTGTAAGCTGACCTTATGCAAAACCCTAATAGGGAAATAAAGAAGTTGTTAGTGCATCTACAGGGCTGGGTACCTGGTACCTACCTAGGTAGATGGCATTACTCGCAAGCTGGTTACATATATGTCTGAAAAGGTGGGTGTATTGCGATAATGATTGTCTTGGGTATATATATGTGTAGGTATCTAGAGAGATATCTCTTACCTCATACCTCAATTTCTTTACTTTATGGTATTCAAGTGTTTGATCTTGTTGTATTTTCTTCTATCGATTTTTCATACTTGGTTCTTCTGATATATCGTCACAACATATCTTTCTTAACATTCCAACCTATCCATGTCTTTCATAATCGAAGGGGCAATCAAAGGCATTGCAGCTGGTATCGGTCTCGCATCCGAGAGTGTGCACGCGCATAAAGCGAAGAAAGCTGATAAATCTCAATCTCAATCTCAATCTCCACGAGCATCCAGTAACGAGGATTTTCAACTTCGATCAGCTAGTTGCAATGCCTTGCGAATCTCGAATGAAAATTCTACGGCTGTATCATCTGATATCTTGCATGAAGAGAACGATGAACACATCTGGGATTTGGATGCTGCACAAGATGAGCTTGCACCCGTCGAGACGCAACAAATTTCCCCCTCAGATCCCACGGTGCAAGAATCCGACGCAGAGACTCAAACCCCCCAAGGAAAAGAAAAACACACCGTCTTCATGAAAGTATTCGTCTCCCGTTTCATCGCCAGACACCCCGCCCCTCAATATCCACCCTCCCATCCCATCACCAACCGACTCCCCCTACCCGTCATCCTCTCCCAACGCCGACCCAAAAGTCGATCTCGGGGTTTCATCCGCGCCTACGCTCCTCTCCTCCAAAACTGCGATATCCCCGAGAACATGTGGCTAGACTTCCTGCGTACATTTAACAAAGCAACGCAAGCCTCACCCTGGATCCAATGCATCAATTTCGCCGGGTTAGCCGCGCATGGAGTAGCTCCCGGCGTTGCGATCGCTGTTCAAATAGCCATTGCAGTTGCTATCAAAGCTGCAAACGAGATACATTCTCGCCAACGAACAAACTCATTCCTTGACGCGATGAACAACCAATTCTTCCGTCCTCGTGGCCTTTATGCCTTGGTATTGACGTGGAATCCGGATGATGGCAATCACACAAGTATGGTGGATATGACATCCACAATTTCCAAATCAATTGATCCACAAACTGGAGAGTCAAAAACGAGGAATAAATTTCATACGTCATCCGGAAATACATACGGTGATTTCGAGTTTCCTGAAGCAGCACCTCTGGTTTTCCCGGCTCTCGATGCGGCATTAACAAATGTGGGATCAGAAGGAGAAGAAAGACTCAAGGAGAAGTTGAAAAGAAAAGGAGATTTTGTATCCGATTACATGGATCGAAGAGCACGAGCACAATACGCGGCGCAGAATCCCAATAGCTTTTTATCGACCGGGCCAAAGGAGAAGTTTACGAGTCGGTATGCGGATCCGAATCATCCAGCTAGTAGTGGAAATCCATGGAGTTTGGTTACAGGTGGGAAGTTCAATCCACCGATGGGGAAAGACTTGATGGCTGCGAGGATGGGAGGACAGGGGTTTGGTGGACGCGGTGGTGGACTGGGTGGACTTGGTGCTGTATTTGGTGGCGAGCGTTCCTACTCAGGCGGGAGACAAGCACAATCAGGTGGCAGGATAGGTCTTCAGCGTGAGGGTAGTGGAGAACAGCAACAGCAGGGAAGTAACCCAAGAGGAGGGAATAGATTAGGAGGAGGGCTTGGAGGGTTCGGTGGGTTTGGTGGCCCTGATATCGTTACGAAAGGAGTTAAGAAGATTCTGGGTAACGTGAGTACTGTCCAATTCAACATCTTGAATCCATGAAAATGGTTGCTAACAGATATCCCAGAATATTCTATATCTCGTGGTAGTGAACATGCCAAGCGATGAAGAAATCGCAACGGCTAGCGCGCAGATTAGAAGTTGGGGTGTTTGAGAACTTGTGACTATGGAATTGCATATGATATGCAGAAGTGATAATTGTGTGGGGCAAGACAGATGCAAAGAAGAGCATATTTGGTTCAAAATTCGAATTCAATCTACCATCTTCCCCACATTGCCCCCATATAGCAGTGAGACAGTACTTGCTACCAGACCCGTCGTTCTGGTAACTAGGTAATCACAAACTATGGGAATTGACTTACCATTCAATGCAAGCCACATCACTTTTGTCTAAAAAGCTCATCCACATATCACGTGTAAATGGATACGTGGCGCAAGTATGTAAGACGTCAATGTACCCATGATCATATCATCTCACCACTAGAAAGATATGAATGAAAGTAAATTTGATTTGTTGCACATCTCATTGTTGCACCGAGTGATGGGATGAACTTGTCCTGCTAGGGTCTTGAACTGGCGGTGTAGTGATGCGGATTGATTGGGGATGAATGGTTCTAGTGGAGCTTGTGTAACATGCATGGCGATCCAGGTCTAGAACATGTCTTGGTCTCTCGAGCACGAGATAGAGATGTATGATTTAGAAATAATTCGCATTTCCAGCATAATCTCCCTTTGTGCCTTGGAATGCACCAACTGGTGTTCCATTGTTATCCTCATCAGAACTGTTTTCCTCTTCGTACGTATCTGCTCGATCTGGCGGAGCTCTCATGCTCTCAAGGACTCGATTGTCAAGGTTGGGAGGGTTGTAAGATTTTAGTGTATGCATTTCCCGTCCAGATGGTAGCGCTGAGATGAGCGTTCCAATAGAAGGTACGAGCTGTGTGCCAATCTGCGCCAGTCATTAGTATTCAACAATGTAGAGAATGGAAGGGTGTAGCCTACAGTGTCGTTCATCTTCACCCATTTCTTCTCCAGCATTTCTAGAACTCTACCCTCCTCCGCTTTCCCTGCATCACTTCCCCAATCCTTCCCCTTTTCAACTCTACGGTCCTCTCTTTTCTCTGTCCATTCTTTCCTTAGTCTCCCAAATCCCATCCCGGAGGATTTCTTTCCTTCATCTCCCACCGATATGCCTAGCTCACTCAAGCCAGCTCTCAGCCATCCAATTCCATCACCTGTCTTCCCTCCTAACTCCGCATCCACTCCAAAAAATCTGCAAGCCTTTCCTCTTCCTACTCTTCGCAGGTCTTCAACGTATTTTAACAACTCAGCATCAACCTTTCCATTTCCTCCGTTGCCCATTCCACCTAGCATGGCTACAGCATTACCCGCATGATCGGCGGCCGCAAGACATAATCTTGCAAACAAATGAGCACGAACTTTGGGCATCTCAGGAGCCTTAATCATCCATTCTTTATCATTTTTGTTACGATCTTGTTGCACTGCTGCTGGATATGGATCATCTTTCAAAACCGCCAGTAATGTACTTTCGGCCAATGCTAAGCTACTGAGGGCACGAAAAACTGGGTTTGAAATATCAGGACAAGGGGGTGGAGAAGTAAGACTCGTTGAGCGAGAGAACAGATAGTTATGAATCGAACCAGCTGCTAGTAATTGCTCTGTAGCAGCTTTGATACATGAAGTTCTTTGTTCAGGTGATGGTGACGCTGTTGCAGATGAATAGAGTGGATGTAATGAGGATCTTGAAAGAAGAACGTGAGTGTAGGCTAGTGTTGAAAGAACGAAATATATTTCATATTCCAAGCTCTGGATTTTCAACCTTGGAATTTCTCTGCCTGGTATTGGCGGATCTGAAAGTGTTGGACGCCATTCTAGAGTTGGTGTTGAAGTGAGGATGATATCTATGTGTTCTGCTCCGGGATCAAATTGAGAAGATATGCCAGAGTCGATGGCTAAGAGATATGGGATGTAGTTGTTGAGTGCTTGGAGAATAGATGAAAGATTTGAAGATTGCTGTGAAGGACTAAGTCGTTTGTGCTTCTTCAGCACATCACGAAGAACCCCTCTGTAAGTGCTTGCGGCTAAAGGTAGTGAGGGATGCGAATCGCTTGTGAAATATGATGAGAACGAAAACGAAGATGTTGTGGGAAGCTCAAGTGGGAAGGGCATGATTGAATGTCTGAATGCGAATCAGTCGAATGCCTTTGGACGCTGCGTGAAGTTCAATACTACCACTACACGTGACTCTTTGAGACTTATAATGAGTGTTCGTAAACAGTGGGACTCTTTGTTGTTGTTGGAGAGTAGGTAGTCGTGTAGTTATTGCCGACTTTCTTGGTCTCATCAATCTGTATTAAAGGAATGAGGATATAAATTAGAAAATCAAGGAGGAAGGGGTGGTGGTGAGAGTGTCGTTTGAATGGTCGGACCGTCGTTTGGAATTTGGCGGGGCAATGATAACCGATATCCCTGCTACGTGCACGCCCCTACTATATGCACGTTTTTTTTAATCAAAATAAAAATCAATTTAAAATTCGTAAATCATTAAAATAAGATAAAATTTAGTTCTAGAATTGAATAATATTATTTATTTTGATTCTCTAGAATTTCAAATTATTAAAATAAAAACTGATTGAATAATAAAATAAAATAAATATATAAATTTAATATATAAATTTTCAATAAAGAATATATTAAAATCTATTTATAGAATTAGAAGATATTTTAATAGATTTTTGAAATTAATATTCTTATAAAAAAATAAAAAAATTTAAAAAGTAATAAGAATTGATCTTAATATAGATTATTAGATTTTCTAATTATTTTTATTATTTTAAAAAAAAATTGAAAATGAATTTTAAAATGAATTTAAATTTTATATTGAATATTAAAGTTTTGAATATTATAATATTTTTTAAATAAGTTATATTGAATATTAAAATATATAAATTTTAGATTAATCGAAAGAAATTCTTTGAATAAATCTTTCATTTTTTAAATCCTATTTTTATTATTATTATTATTAATATTAGTAATTTTCAACCGGGCCGTATAGGCGAGCCTCCCAGGGGGCATTACGGTTGGGCTAACTGCGGGATGATCTTCTAATTTACATGATCCCCTTTTCCTAGGGATGGGGTCTCAATACCCTCAGTAGCCTCCCAAGCGATGGCTAGCGCACTTGCGCCTTTGTCTCCGATCCTCTGAGCGCCTCCGTGCGCGCTTTCCGATCTCCTATATAATATTTGTTTGAAAGCTGCTTTATCCTGTAAGAGTAGCTTTTGTATACATTCTATTGCAACATGATATGCCGTGTAAAAATCCTATTTTTGAAATTATTTAAATCTTGATTTATAATATATAATGAAATTCTAATTATGAAATATCACGGAGGTAATAGCTATGTCTAATGATCACTTTGATCAGGAGATAGGTATATAGAGTGATAATAAACTAGATTGACTTAAGGTATAATCATAAGGATTATTCCTGGTTTATATACCCTGATCAGGCAATAGAGTCGCCTAATTAAATATATAGAGTATACAAATAAACTGAGTGAAATAGTTTTAGTAATCATGGGAATAAGTACTCCGAAGGAGTACTAGGATTAATACCGTAGGGTTACACTATACGGTGAATTCCGTGACAAGAAATTATTATTATAATATACAAAATTTCAAGAAAAAAGGTTTTCGTAATTCAAAATATTATTAAATCAATTTTTAAAAAAAGAAAATCTAAATAGAAATCATCTTAATATCAATAAATCCTGAAAATTCAAATATTTAAATTTTATTAAATCAAAAATCAATTGATATAACTTTTTTCTTCAATATTAAAATGAAATATATATAACTAAAGATTATGAAAATCAAATTTTTAATAATAATCAATAAAAGCTTATATTATAATTAATATTATATTAAATTAAATTCTTAGTATTTATTTTTAAATCTTTAATTAACTATAATATTCATAAATTATAAATTTTAATATATTTATATATATTTTAAAGACTATTATTATTATATAATTCAAAAGTAAAATTAAATATTATAAATTCATTATTTTATTAATAATTAATTCTTATAAATTTTCTTTTTAAAACTATCAGTATTTAATATTGATATCATTTCAGAATTTTAAAAAGAAAGTTTAATTTTTTCAATTACTTTATATTATTATATAAAAATCTCATAATTTCCTTTAATAAAGCTTATATTTTTAATTCTATTATAAGATATATTAGTAAGTAAATAGTTTTTTATATAAAAATTCAATATCTTATTTATTAATAATATTATTATAACCTTTTAGAATTTTAGATTTTTTATTTCAAAACGTTATATTAATTTATTCAAACTATCTTAATTCTGGATTTCAAATAATTTAATTGCTTTTTTAGTTTTTAATTCAATTTAATATAATATTTTACATGAATAATAAGAGCGTGCATATAGTAGGGCCGTGCACATAGTAGGGATATCGGTTATTGAATGCATTCGTGGCATTTTGAGATGACCGTAGTAGCAATTTACCTTGTAGCTTGTCCCACCCTCGAGCCACCATATATATTATTGATTGGAGTTCTTAACCTTATCAAATGCGACCAATTCATTTTCATCTACGTCATCTTTGTTACTAGAGAATGCTGCTTGTTAGACTGGGTAGACCACCACCAAGTAGGTACTAGGTAGGTAAAGAACGATATCCAAGAGTAGGTACATTCCTTCAAGCTATTCATTTCTTCGTCCTTGAGAACAATTGCCACCAAATCCTCAAAAATCATCGGTATTCGAAAATACATTGAATACTCTTCTCATATCAAAACCAAGCTTCAATCCTCCGTTTACGCACTTCACCACCATGTCTGCTTCTCAGAATCAATCCTCACTCAACTCCACCCCCGCCGGTACAACTTTTGGCCCCAACTGCGGCGCACCATCATCCACAGCCACTCCTGGAATGTCAGTAGGATCGGCTACAGCAATGGGCCATGGCGATCATCCAAAAGATAATGCGGACGACAGCAATGCCAAATTGTCGAGTTCCAAGGTCGGACCTCAACAAGAGGATTTGGAGGGAGAACAGATGAGAGCAGCAGGTGAAGGAGATGTCATGGCTGCTCAATTCGACAAGAAGAATGCTGGATGGGGAGAGGAGGGTAGTTATACAAGTGATCTCGACAGACAAAAGGCAGAGCAGAAGGAGGCTAGAGAGAAGATCAAGAGTCAACGAGAGCAAGGCATTGATGTAGATGGAGGTGCAGGTGGAAGACTCCAAAATGAAGGGTTAGGATCCGTTTGAGGCGAAAAATGAAGACCTGAATTAAAATCTTTAATCATTTCATTGGTTTGTCCCCTCAGGTTTATCGTCGCTCTTTCTGCAAAATGTGATTTGCCACAATCCCACCTTGTCATATGGTCGTGCATTAAATCTGTCAAACAACCCAAACTCCGTCGCCATGCCCGAAATTCAAGGTAGCCATTCCCTTATGATATTAAAACTCCATATTCTCCATAACTTGATCCCCGACAGAACTCAGAGCTGAAGATGCCTCTCTAGTGGAAGGTGTTTCCTCAATCTGCTTTGGTATTGGTTTCATCCGATCTGCCCACTCTTTCACACTTGTAATCTCTCCTCCCTCGACTTTCACTATTCGAGGTTCGGCAGGTCTTCCTAACAACGTGCCATGATATCGTGAATCCTCATCGGTTGTGTTGTGCTTCTTTTTGAGAGCTATCTTCTTTTAGTTCTCATTCACAACCACATAAATCAATGAAGAAATAAGGAGAGCATACCAGTCAGATAATCTTCCCCTCCATCTGCTAACGCAATCCTCCTAATCTCTTTATTCCCTTCCCCCATGGCCCAGGCTATAAATCCTTCTACACCTCTCATATCTTCTTCGCCATAGAATTCCTGTTCTTCTATTGCTTTCTCTGGCATAAGAGCTCCGCAATCTTGCATGGCCATTCGTACATCTGAAATCGTTATGTCGAGATCCGCATGGTTTAGATCGGCATGCGCTGCTGTTGATTGTGCGAGTATGTACATGTAACGAGCAGCTAGATCGGTTATGGTATCAAGAACTGAGGATCGCGTTGAGTGATAACCGGCTGCGCGGAGGATATGTAAAATACATGGTCGAAGGAGGGCATGATGAAGAGCTTGAGGTGTTGCCATCTTAAGTTTTTCGATTTTGATTGACGAAAAAGTCGGGATCAAGGTGCGGAGAGACTAGATATTATCATGGTTGCATGTCGCAGAAATTATATAGTTGATTAAATAGAAAGTCTCTTGTATTTCACCGTAAAGCGCAAAAGGTGAATGCGAATTCCCATTTGTCGCATAAGTAAAATGGAAAACGCGGTTGCGCGATTGTGCGATCGGGTCTCCGTATAATTCTCGAACTGGAGCTCCCTCCATTCCATTTGATCAGTCCAACATCTTAAATTCTTGGATTCCTAAAACTACGACAGACCACGAATAAACTCTTGTTTTGCGATTTTTACAAAATTTCACTCCCACCAATCTGGCGACACGAATAACCTATTTTCAAAAAGAGCGCACAACTACGAGGATAAACCGCCAATATGAGCGGCCCATTCAAGCTAAAGTTGAGTCTCAAGACAAATGGAGGAATGAATGCATCACCAGGACCTTCTACACCTACCACACCATCAGTTTCCACACCAGGCGGATCCAAACCAAAAATAAAGATCAGCAGTAAACCTGCGGGATCGCCCCCTCTTCCATCTGCGTCTAGCTCATCGCAACCAAAACCTACAAAAGCAGGTCGAGCTCCTAAACCCACACAAAAGCTCGCAGATTCGCGCAAGAGAGTTAAGAAAGAAGACGACAGTAGCGATGAAACTATCTCTGTTATACCAAGGAAGCCGAATCTTCACAATGAACCTGCGAAGAAGAAAGTCAAGATTAGTATCAAGCCAAAAACACCTTCTATGGCTGGGATCAATCATGGACTTCCAAAGACACCGGTTATGATGAAGGCTAAAATTAAGGGCAAACCACCGAAAAGACCTCTTGGAGAAGGCTATGACTCTGAGGCCAGTGATACGGAGAAAGATCCTTCCATCGAAGAAGCGTTTATCTTTCGAATGATTCCCGGCGACGATTGTGACTACCTACGAACATGCATCGCCGAGAAAAAAATGGGTATCAATCCAAAAGTTGGAGGTGCAGATGTGCAAATGAAATTCTTTCATGCCGAAGGTAGACGAGCTGCTGTTATTATCCGTGGAAATGTCTATGCTGCTACTCTTGTCGACTTGCCATGTATCGTTGAAGGAATGAAGAGTTGGGATAAAAGAGGATGGTATAAAAGTGCGGATATTTGTCAAATGCTTTGGATTTATCAAAGGGTCGAGAATGAAGATGAGGCTAAAATTGCTCCTTTGCCCTCAATTATCGATCCACAAACTTTTCAATATCCACATGGTCTCACTGCTCCAATGCATTTGGCACGAAAACGGCGTTTCAGAAAACGTATCAGTAGAACTGCGATCGAGGCTGTAGAGGAAGCTGTCGAGAAACTTCTCGAAGATGATCGAAAGGCTGTATCCTCAGAATACAAAGTTATCTCCCCAGAAAGAGAACAAAGTAGTCAAGTATTCAGTCCAGGAAGTTATGGTGATGAAGGAGAAGATCAGTATTCCGAAGATGAAGATGCTGAAGGAGAAGCTGATGATGGTGGTTACTTCTCTCAAATTAACAACGGCGATGCTGCCGCATCTGGGGATGAAATGGGTGGGGATCTCGAAGCTGACCTCGCAGCAGAGATGGAAGCCGAATTGGAAGCAGGGGCAGGCTTTGAAGATATTGCTGCTACCCCTATGTCTATGTCAGGTGTCGCGGCTACTCCTATGCTACTAGGCGAGACCCCAGCTCCCAACGAAGAAGATGATAGCGGTGATGAATCAATTGAAGATGGGGAGAGTGGAGATGAAGGAAGTGAAGCGGATGATGTTGATGACGATGAAAAAGCACGCTTGGCCCAGCTCCAAGAAGCCAAAGAAGATATCGTGGATTTGGAGAAGCAGATTGAAGGCCTCCAAGCACAATTGGCTGCTCAAAACAATCCAATTCTACGCAGGAGAATCGAGGATAAATCGAGAAAGCTCAAGGCTGAGTTGGAGATCAAGAAATCTTCGATTGGCGAGGCAGAAGATGATTAGATACTTTTCAAAGGTCACTAGGTATTGGGTTTATGTACATTCAGGCGTTTTCACAGAAGATGGGTCGGGGCCTAAACAATATTCGGCGCTGGCTGGTTGTCTCTGCTTGGGTTGGACAATTGGCGTTGGGTCATTTTGAAATGGATGGACAGCTCAAAAGCATAGTCTCAATTTGGAGTTTGAGCTGGGTGGCATTGTATGGTGGCATGCTGCAACGGTGCATTTAATGTCAGGAAAATGACGAGCTACTACCAAATGGGTAGCGTCATGAATACCACAAACATGTTGGTCGACATAATGATAGATGCCTTATAATACAGATTCTTGTCTACAGTATCCTTACACAGATGTGATATAATTTTACATCTTCCCTCGTCTCTTAGTGCCCAATCTTCATGGGTCTAGCTGTGTCAGTTGCATGTGTCTTCTTGACTTGAGCATCTCCCATCTGCTTTATACTTTCTACAACATGCCATCCCACATGAAGACTCCTTATTGAGCAGTACTTCAACATCAAAGCTCTCAAAGCTCTCAAACAATGCCCCAAGAATTGAGCCCAATCCGCACCCCATTGCCCCAAAGGAGTACATCGACTTTCCAACCTATCCACAACCTCAAAAACCTCAAATTTACATTCCCTTCAAGTAATTGCCCTCCTTAATCTTCGCGCGACGCTCCTTCCTCATCGCCTTTACCAAATCTCCTCGTTGTTCTAATGCGGCTTCGCCTTCACTAGACAAATCGACCGATTGTTGCTGCAGAGGAACCTTTACTTCGAGCAGAGAGGTGTCGCCCGAGAGAAGCGCGCGTTCTTCTGCCTTTCTGCGGGCTTTGGCAGCAGCACGACGAAGTTTTTTAGATTTTGCTAGAGAGGGTGTTAGTCAATTTGGATGCAATTGGGAATGAGGGAAAGGAAGCGTGGATGAATAGGAATATAGGAATGGGATGAATAGGTTAGAAAACATACAGAATTCATCGCCTCCCGCAGCGGCACCCCCATCAGCAGCTTTCTTCTCGTCCAAACAGTGCCATAACCATTCTGGATATTCTTCTTCTTTTAAAGCGACGGGGTCGTCTCTTCCTTTGAGGAAGTTGAGACCTTGGAGGATGGTGCCCGCGGGGATGCTGGATGTAGGTAAGGGAGTTGATTTTTTGGTGGGGGAAGGATGGGAGGAGATTCCTTGGGCGGCGGGCGAGGGGGAGAGGGGGGTTGAGAAGGGTTGGGCTGCGCCGGTGGAGGTTGCGGTTGGAGGGCCGGCGGTGCGAGGTGAGGAGGGGGTGGATGTTGGGGGGGTGGAGGTGAGGAAGGCTGTGTGCGAGAAGAGACGGGTTTGTTGGGTGAGAGGGAGCGACTGACGGGTCAGACAGCGTGAACAAATCATTTTGAGGGAGAATTGGCTGTGTAGGTGAGATATGGTGGGTTTATTTCTTGTGCTGGTGTATATGGAGATTAATTTTTTTGGGATAGCTACGGGTACCTGGATGGACCGGGTGTGCTGCTGATATCAAATTCTTTGGTGGGGTGCTGGGTGCTGGGTGGATATGTAATGGAAATGGATCATTTATTTTGCTGTGTCCATATTAGGATTGAGAATCACATGGAGAAATATTCATGTAAATAATTGAATCCTCTCTTAACTATTACTCTGATATTTCTTGAGGTAAGTAAGACAAGATGTGATATTTTCGGAAGTCTATACCGTGTCAAAGTACCTACATATTGGCTATGTCATTCTCATACATCAAAATCACAAGTTTAGGGAAATAGACTGGTTGTACAAATGTTTCATATTTACAGTCCCATTAGTAGACCTTTCTCAGGTCTCTATTTTTGGGTCAAATGCTCTGAAGCTTCCTGGATTCTGGTATATCTTCAGTGTCTGATTCCAAATATCCTGCCTGCCTGAAGCCGCACTGAGCTCATTCAAGCATAACCCTCACCCAGCATGATATCGCTCTCGCCCTCTTCCCACTATTCATCCTCCCCTCGCCCAGTAAAGTCCTCATAATATATATATTAAGCCTTGTTGAAATGGTTTTGTTGCTCGAACAGGTAACCTTTAATCTTGGACTCCTTCAATAACTCGAAATAACGATCTGAGAGAAAGGATTAGTCCCAAGATCTATAAAAAGTTCCTCCTGGGAAGCCAGTTGTTTTTGAGGGGTTGAAGGAACTGATTCTCATTCAAAAAATCTGTAGATTATTCCAGTTTCATAGTATTAATCCTCACCTCTTAATGCACCACATTTTTCCAAATGATTAACCCCCTCCTTGTAATAGCATTTTCCCAGTTCCTCTCTGACCAAACGCGCCATCATGCTCTTAACCCATTGTTCTCTTATAATCGCATCTTGTGCTTGCTTCAATCGTGCTGTATCATCATAATCGACACCATCGAAAGTTGGAGGGACCGTAGGTTTCTTCGCGAGGAATGCGGCAGATTCGGGAGTTGGTGCCATTGTACAGAAATTGAATAATGGGTATGAGGAGGGTTATAGGATCAATGGGTATATGATCGATCGAGTATTGTGGATCCAATAGTAGAGTTGAGGTGGTCGACGTCTTTCACAAATGCGTTTGTAATGAAGCTATTTTGATTGTTTGAGCTCAACAACGAAAGTCACGATTTATTATGGGTCGGGTGAAATTTAGTGAATGAGCAAGACTTGCCGAACTTGCTTCGGTTCCTTCACTGCCCGAGACTGCTCGAAATGCTTAACTAATCACTCGAACTGATAGACCCACTCCCTCGAGACCCTGAATCCACTCTCCAGATAAAAACCTTTTATCACTCTAGCGCAATTGAAAAAAATTCTCGATAAGAGCTTTTCTTCAATCCTACTTAAACTTTTCACTCTCCCAAGTTTTCAATTTTTCTTCTTCAATCATACATCCTTTTTCAACTCAATACTTGTATCGATTCATCAGTTTTTTGATTAAAAGATAGCAATTTCTTCATATCCTTCTTCAAAAACACTCAATTACTTCAACTTCTTCAAGAAGTAAATCATTCATAATGGCAAAGACCAAGGATACCAAGGTTGCTAAGGCTTCCAAGAAGACTGAGGTCAAACTACCACTCTCAACTGTCAAGAATGCGGCAGTTGTTAAACCATCTCAATCAACAAAAGCTAAATCTAAACAGACCGCAAAGGCTACTGCCACCAAGGCCGCTAAGCCAGCTCCAAAGCCAGTCAAGAAGGCTGCCACCCCATCCTCCGACAGCGAATCTGGTTCCGACTCTGATTCTTCTGAATCTGAGGAGGAGAAGCCAGCACCAAAGGCCACCAAGGCTAAGGCTAACGGAAAGGCTGCTAAGGTCGAGAAGAAAGAGGTAGAATCATCCTCCTCTGACTCCTCATCTTCGTCTGAATCCGAAGATGACTCGTCGTCATCTGAATCCGAAACTGACTCTAAACCCGCCGCAAAGACTACCAAGAAGGCTGCCGCTTCTGAGAGCGAAGATAGTGACGACTCAAGCGACTCCGAATCCGAGGAGGAGGCTAAGCCAGTTGTTGCTGCTGCCAAGAAGGTTCAAAAGGTTGTCGATGCCGGAAAGGCAAAGGTCAACGGTGCTGCTAAGGTAGTTGCCAAGGCTACTGTAAGTAATATCAATCCTTCCAACAACCCTATCATAACTTGAACTGCATGCTAATATCTTTATAGGAGGACTCTGATGACTCCGACAGCTCTGACTCCTCCGAGGAAGAAAAGAAGAAGGAATCTGGATCTGACTCTGACTCTTCCGATTCCGACAGCGAGTCTGCCAGCGAGGCTGAGGCCGAAGCACCATCCAAGAAGCGTAAGGCCGAGGATGAGCCAGAGGCTTCCACCAAGAAGTCCAAGACTGAGGAGACTGTTGAGGATAACGGAAGCAAGAACTTGTTCGTTGGTAACTTGAGCTGGAACATTGATGACGAGTGGCTCTACCGCGAGTTCGAGGAGTTCGGTGAGATCAGTGGTGCTCGTGTCATCAGTGACAAGGCTACTGGACGCTCCAAGGGTTTCGGATACGTTGAGTTCGTCAAGTCAAGTGATGCTGCTGCCGCTCTTGCTGCCAAGAAGGGTGCTCTCATTGATGGTCGTGAGGCCAACGTTGACTTCTCCACTCCCCGTGACACCACCGCACCAAGAGAGCGTGCTAACAACCGTGCTGCTCAATTCGGTGATGCCAAGAACCCACCTTCCGACACCCTTTTCCTCGGTAACCTTTCCTTCGATGCCGATGAGAACGTTGTTGGTGAGGCTTTCGGTGAGCACGGCACTGTTGTCAACGTCAGACTCCCAACTGACCAGTAAGTTAATCCTCGTCACATACTCATCTACACATACTAATAATCACTAGGGAAACTGGCAACCCCAAGGGTTTCGGATATGTTACCTTCGGTTCCGTTGAGGATGCTACTGCCGCTTATGATGCTATGATGGGTGCTGATATTGCTGGCCGTCCAGTCAGACTTGACTATGCTACTCCTCGTCCAGAGCGCAGTGAGGGTGGTGGCTTCGGTGGCCGTGGTGGTGGACGTGGTGGTGGTGGCCGTGGTGGCGGACGTGGAGGTGGACGTGGTGGCTTCGGTGACCGTGGAGGACGTGGTGGTGCTCGTGGTGGTGCCCGTGGAGGTCGTGGAGGCAGCACTAACCGTGGTGGCTTCGGTGACTTCAAGGGAAAGAAGATGTCTTTCGAATAAGCTGTTGATATCATATGAGGGTTTCCATTGTCTGTCCGTACTTTGTCACATGTTGAGTATTCTTTTCGAAGATGCTTTCATGTTGATATGTGGGTCGTTGGCTTTGTGGGTTGTGGGCTCTTGACTCTACTCCTTATGGAGAATGTGGCTATTGAGACATATCTTCTGCTTTCTCTGGATCGTTTCATTGGAAGAGAAGTTTACAACTTGTGGGCTTGATTTACGTGGTCGTCGGCTTGTGGCTGTCCCTTTGAGCTTTTTGATCGTTTTCATAGGGGCGTTTAGGTAAAAACATTGTGGTCTATGGCTTTGAACATATTAAGAGGTTGGGTATGATCCTTTCTTGTATCTTTGGATATCTTGAGAGGGGACCGAACTTTATGTGGGCTTTCCGAGGGCATGATGTAAAAATTCTTTCATTGGTTGGGTGGAATGGTTTATGACAAATATTACCCGGTTCTTTGCGAAACGTCTCGCTAGACCAACTGTATTATATGGTGAGTATTTTGCAACTAGTATCTTCCCCTGCTGTTGCTGTCTTATTTTACAACTCAAATACAATAATACTTTACAATACCTTTTGTTCATCATGATCTGTGAGATGTGAAATGTGAGATGTGAATTGTGAATCTGTCCCAACGTCTTTTGCAGACTATAGATTTGCTTCATGATCCACCAGAAGACCGTTGACGTTCTATTGGGCATCTGCGGTTGGCTAACGCCCGGTTTATCGATAGTATCAAAGACCAAGTAGATCAAAATCTGAGTTCTCAAATGTCATCGAAATGCCATTCTTTTCATCTCTGTCTCGTTTCATTCATCTACAGTCTCAGATGAAAAGAATTCTGTCTCATTTCATTCATCTGCAGTCTCTTTTAGATATGCATAGCTGTTCCTATCTCCTATCTCCTATCTCCTTCTTCTCCCCCTCTCCTCCTCACTCCTCCCTCCTTTTTCATCACGTTCACATCTTTCTTTTCTCATAAGTTTCAATCCTTGAAAAAATGAATGATGGTATATAGAAATTCTGTTGTTTTTGGCATTAAGTATTGAGGTTAGGAAGTCAATTGGGGAGAGAAGATGCCGAAAATTTGAAGTCGTTTGTTCGGAGGTTTCTTGTTTGTGTTGGAATTTTGTTGGTTGGGAGAGGGAGGATGGAGGGGAGAGGAGGGGGAGAAGGGGAAGAAGGGGAAGAAGGGGAAGAAGGGGAAGAAGGGGAAGAAGGGGAAGAAGGGGAAGAAAGGGAAGAGGGGAAGAATGGTTGGGGACTTTTTGAGATTTCTTGGAGAAAAGGATTGCTATGATTGAGGTTGTTGGTTTTGGGGGGTTTCGTATTGGAATTTTGACTTCCATTTAAGAAATAATCTATTCAAGCGATTGATGATTCTCTCCAGTATGGGGTATTCTATACTTCGATCAACCTCACAAAAGCAAACATAGACTATCATTATCCAAATCCAGTATCATAAAGATGGTGAGATTTATTGTCAAGTTAGGTGAATTTGATTGGCAGATTGATCCTTTTACTTAGCTATTAGTAGATGTCATTGATCAGTCGCGAACGCACCGTCCTATTTTGTTCTCGATTTGATTCTTTTTGCTGTTGCTGGACACAGACTTTTCTATCCAATATCCGGATATCAACGAGTACATCTCAACGAACATCGACGAATCATATCATGGTTGGGAAGAAAAAGCTGAATTGTTATTATTCACACCAAAACCGGAACCAAATAGTTTCAGACCCTTCGGTGACCCTCAGGAGGCTTATGTCTCGAAATCAAGGCCCAAATTATGTAATTACCGATGGGTCTGAGGATGAGATAATCGAAGAGCGCTCTTATATATTGATTATGTACACGTGATCGCTTACGTGCGCTCTTCAAGCGCACGTGCGATCGCATCGCGATTGAGTGCGTTTCGTGACAAGCGCTATCATACATAAAAGAGATCTCTTACGAGATCTCTTTCCTCTTTAGCTTTCTTATTCTAGTTATTTGACCTCTATTGATTAGCTCTATTATGTGATCGTAACATTAATTATTGAAATTCGAATATTAATAAAACCTTGAATTTGATGTGATTTTGAAGTGATCCATTCGGTGATATGATCCACTCGATGATGAATCACATTATGAGCAAAGTAAATAGCAATTCGACTTGTCAAGGATCTTCAAAGGTAGATAAACTGTTTGTTATGTGGTTGAATTGAAGCTTAGCTCTTTCATTCGAGTCATTCAATCCGTTCTGCAGTCCGGACTATTGGACGCACTGGGTTCAGAAGATATCCAGTTGAATCCTTCTGATATGCCACCCCGCTCCGTGAATCTTTTAGCTTGTATACACACACTTGTGATACACGATCTCATTGATTAATGATTTTACCTGACATCTCCGCAAAACAGAATGGATACGAATAATTTTCTCATGTCCATCTACTTTCTCATCGGGCAGCGTAGATACTAGATAACTTGTTTTTTTCTAATTTTATAAGGGACATCTATTAAAACTGCTCTAAATCAATCACAAAACTATACAAATCATCATCATTAGTACGTCGACTTATACTATGATTTTCCCTTGCCCAGAAGACGTTGAAGACCACTCAAAGTCAAAGGTAGGACCTACTAGAATTTTGGGCGAAGATACTTGTTTGTGCATTTGTGATTTAAAGTCAGAGAAAAGTCCGATCGAATCTTTAAGATTGCCCTTCTTTAAGGCAAAGTCTTTCATTGATTATGCAACTCCCACTTAAAGTCATGTAAACCTCACCACAAAAGGAGACAGATAGAACCAATTAATCTGGCAGGCAAGAAAGCATCGAACCGAGAACATTATCAGTGGGGAATCAACCCAGCCAGTTTCACAAGGCCCCAAACTGAATTGGACCACTTGAACTGGCTTACTACATACTGCCTACGTTACATCAGTATGACCATTCATATTTCCAGAAATGATCTTGACTTGATTTTTTCCCCTTCCGAGGTCTCCCATTTCTATTTCAAACAAGGTGTCCTCGCCCATTTCAACTTCTCTTTCCCTACCGTTTGCACTTGCCTTCTTCCTCAAATTCTCGTCAGGCTCACTACCCAATCTTTTTTCTTGCATTTACAATCGAAAAGGATTTGCTATTGCTTTTTAAATGTGTAGTAAGTCGCGTGAAAAACTTCAGTAATAGAACGGACTCGACAATTGAAAAGTTAGGAAAGTAGTGGGAGGTAAACTTGGCGAGTGAGGGCATGCAGGAGCAAATTATCCCCATGCACATTTATACCAGGCCGATTAAGGAGTAAGAAAGTGCTGGCTATAAATGGATGAGGCAAAACGAAGTATATACTTACGCGCAAATGATAACAGGAATAGAGTCCCAAGCTGAATCAATAGTAGTAAGGCGCGTTTTGTAGTAGATACTCAGTGATGATGCTATACAAGCGCTAATTGAAGTTAGTTTCTCCTTCAAATATCTTGGCGTTTACATCGCTTGAATAGATAAATAAATAAAACAATCATTGAAGGAGGCCTTATAAACATACCAAAGTCCCGTAATCAAAATCATGAGAACTCCAATCTTCCTCTTTCGACTTAACTTCAGCCCCGAGACTCCTGCAATTGGTGTGATGAAAGTATAAACATCAACAATGAAACTTGTCACTGAGATTGGAACACTAATTTTTAAAACTGCCATTTCTCGAGGCTCTTGATACATCTCTAGCCAGTTTTCACCTGGATGAGGTACGAGAAGAATGATCTGAGCTAGAGTGAAGCCAAGGAAAACAAGAATCGTGAAAACCATTCCAAAGTATATCATGTATTGCAAAGTGCGGTTGGGTGAGAACAAAGTGAGATAGAACAATAGGAAAGTGAGTTTGGCTATGCCGAGTGTGACAGTCGAGAGCCAGTTCTCGGTGAACGCAGTCTGATATTGGACAAACAGATTAGCTTGGAAAGCAAGTTGAAATGTTAGAATTATATCAGGTGGGCTATCAATTACCCATCCTAACGAGGGGCTAACAATTTGTAGAGCTGATGTATCGTAGCCGTGACGACCGAACTTCCCAACCTGGATACCTATTGGAAGTCAAATAGGTCAGACATCAAGCCGACATTCAAGTATAGAGAGGAAAAAGGGAAAAGGACCAGGAGTCGGTACCTAGAAGCTGATTGATGTAATAAACAACTAGAAATATCTATGTAAGATTGGTGATCATATTAGCTTCTTCAATCTCCAATCACTTGGTATAATTTGAAGGCAAAAATTAGATCTATTACCGTTGAAGCAAAACATGAAGCTGTATAGCATGTAACTAGTCTATAGATGCATGTATTATTGCTCGAAATTCAAAGAATCAATCATTAAATCAGAAAACATACTATCATCCCATGCAATTTGATGGAGGATCCTCAGCTTTGTGACCAAACGTATCCCTACAAAAAGAGCAACAACAGGTAGCAAGACCCCTCTTATAATGATAAAAGCTGTTCCTCGATTTGGCGGATCGACGAAGTTTGATACAACGCCCAGGGGAGGCGGAGCTATGGGCGTCTGGGCCAGGACAGAAATAGGTATCCCATTAGTTGTTCCGTTCAAGTATATCGCAAAAGCAAGTCGACCGAATATTGATTGTAAGAGTAAACTTGAGAGTATATGGTAAAGCAGCCGATGACGATAAAATTTAATTTCAAAGATAGAATCAATAGGTATTTAAAGTACAAAGATTTGCTTACATGAGAGTGTGTTAAGCTGCGTCGTTCTTCCCATCAGGATTTCTTCAGGATTCCTCCATGATTATCAAGAATAGGAGCATAATTTTCCTTGGGCCAGAAGTCAGCTTGAAGTTACACTCTGCTTAACTAGTATGAATGGGATGGAGGGTGACAGTGAATTGGTATAATGCAATTCGCTCGCTTTTTGTAATATCAAACGGATTTTTTATCCTTAAAAGCTGTTGTAGGAAAGTCAATGTGAGTGTGTTGGGATATCGATCATGTGATCAAAGAGGACACTGTACTAGCTAGCGTGGCGCTAGCACTTCACTATATTAAATAATAGCTTCCCATAGATAATAATGATCAATAACGAATACAACCATAATAGACTAAAGTACTTACACTTATCAACCAAATTGATACCAACAGAGTGTATCTATCATATCATGCATGCATGCATGCAACCCTACACTACCCATTTTTAATACCTGTGCTGTCAGCCTTTCGGTTAATTCGAACCCGTGTTTGTTTTGGGAAACTCATTCATGTTTGTTCTGTTCTTCGAAATTTCAAGCTTCCACTGAATCTTGATGCACTGAGCTGGCCGTAAATTTAAACACGATCACAACGAAATATGACATCCCATGCTTATGACCATTCCAGGTGCAAACAATCTCAAAACTGCAGCTTCTGTTCAATTGCCGATGGATCAGAATATGTGGCGCCTGGTCTCCAGGCTTCAATTAAAGAAAACATCTTGACAGAAGCTGGCCGTGGATCATCATTCAGTGGCAGAATTTGGTATTATAATGGTACGTCGTGAATCTTTTATACTCATGCGAATTTGTCACCTCAAGTCTGATGACTCTGGTCTTCCGCAATAATTGGCCCCTTCAATTTAATCACCTTCCTTCTTAACATTTAATCGGGCAGGTTGGAAATCTGTGAATCTACGCGCGTTGCTAAAACCCTCGGTCTTTGCGGCATCGACTGCGATCTTTTTTGGTCAGATAGGTGAGTAAGCCCAGTTCTTCACGTACCCTTTCATACACTCCCTTGTTCCGTTACTCATTGTCATTTTGCCCTTTCAAGCTCGCGAGCAAGATTTCGCCTCGTCACTGATCCGATATGCTCTCGACATGGAGCTTTCTGACAATACGCAACAATATGTGCCCGTTTTTATCGCTCCGTAAGTAGACTCTACAACCTCTGAGTGCGCACGAGTTGACTTGGAAGAACCGTCCATTTCATCGTTACTAGAAATGAGCGCGCAAAGCATATATTAATCCAGCGACTAGCTCTCGCATTAGAGCAAGCAGAAGAAGAAAAACTGGTCTGTAACCCCATATTTCACAAAGAAAGCTGCTAATCGTATTTAGCCCAAATTCTTGCGGACCGCAATTGTTGCTCCTGGTAAAGAACAGGTCAAGTCTTCGGTTGTCGCTGAAGCAATTCTGTCTGCATGGCTCAAGCTATCAAATCAGGCTTTACTTGTTAGTGATTCTTAAAACAAAAATATACCAGACAGTCATGTACTGACGAGGATATGTAGATTCTTACTCACACAATTGTACAAGCCTGTGTGCAACTGGATCTTGAATCGCTACGTCGAGAGATTGGAGACCCTAAGTTGCGCACATATGAAGGTCTGAATGATCTACCTTTGCTGCATAGGGTTTTGGAAGAATCTTTAGAGAACTATTGTGAGTACGCATTTTTGCAAGGACGTGCCCCTCGCGCATTTCTGATAAGAATTCTAACGCCTTCAACAGTCGATATTCTGAGAGATGTGGATAGGCAAGAGGCTACAGTCGAAAATTCAGCCAATTTCCTTCAGGATTTCTCTCCTCCTCATCACATTGGGGAAAATTGGCCATCAACGTGAGTAACATCTCGGATTCATTGCTACATTAAACTGACATGTACCACAGTGTAGCAGACGATAGAGCTTCCATACTCTTGACATACAAAATTACGCTTGCTTACCTTCTACCTGTGTTGAACATTCAGGTTGACCAAGAGACGACTTCGAGATTCAAAAACCACGATCAAAGTTTGTTGTTACACCACGTCAAGGTTGCTGTACGTGACCGGAACTATGTGGAGGAGGATTATTTCTAGTCCGAAAAGGATGATAAGCTCCATATTTGGGGAGTTTGTAGTAAACAGGTTGATTTTTTTTATCCACCCATCAATATATGCATGCACCTGTCAGAATGTCCGTGAGGGATTATATGTGTTTAGTCTTCATCTAACTTAAGATAGGTATTTATCGCGGGGTCGTAAGTGCTGTGGGACTGTATTACTACTATGAATGATTGCTGCTCTGTGGAGCTATGCTTAATATAAATATAAAGTACACGGCCACTCCAATTTATTGGGGGCTAGGGTATAATTAGTCCAGAAGCTGACGGGCCTGTTGCTGTTATAAGAGTACGTTGTTCTCATTGGAGAACATCATTTTCCTACTCATACAAGGGCCGGCTGTATAATCAATTAGGTCTCATATTTCCCTAAAGCATCTTTAGTCTCATCAATCCTTGTGCTGATGTGCTGATGTACCGATGTTTCGATGGCTAAGCGAGGTCGGTGTGTCTCTATCCCCCACTCACATTGTCATTCGGTAACCGATATCCCTACATCGTGTATGTCCCTGTATCGTGTACATTTTTAAACTCATCTTATGACAACTTCAATATTTAATAATAAATATATTCAATAAAATATAAAGCTATAAGTTATCTAAGAGTATAATAAAATTATCAGAAATAGACAGTAAGTTACGCATAAGGAGTGATATATTGAAATATGTATATCGGATCTATATATCCAGAAAGTCTAAAAAAGGAGTTTTATAGTAGTATGCATATGCTATACACATACTATACATATGATTTCCAATATCCCTTTTATAATAGGAATCTATTATCTAAATTATATAAATTCTTTATATATATATATTTGTAAAGAGCTTTATTAATTCCTATAATAATATCAATATTTCAGAATTGCCTATAGTATTTATATCTTTAGTGAAATTCGATAGTTCTACAATTTAATATTGTATTACAATATAAGAATATTTTTTATTTGAATTTTGTTTTCTTTATTTATATTAGATCGGATTTAATTTATTTAGTAATTCGAATATCAATCTACTTTTGTAAAATCCTTTTTATATGCATATTAACGGATTGCTTCAGATTTATTATCTTCAGATTATAAAGTTATTTTTTTAGTATAATAAATAATCCAAATCTAATCTTATTTATTTATTTATTTATAGTAATTAACGTCTAATATCTGACCTCCCAAGGGGTATTCTAGATGTACTAAGGAGTGGGCCTACAAGTTGCTAGCGTTCCAGCTGCTTATAGTAGTGTAATATTAGCTAATTAGAAATTTGTTACCTTTAGTATTTCCCTGTTTAGTACTACTTATAGCAATTCTGTAGCTATTCTATCTAAAGATTTATAATTCTATTTTAAAGAGTTTTATTTTGTATATTATCCAGGTATTAATAAATGATTAGATCGATCATTATCGATCAGGAAAGTGCTTGGAGTATTTATAATTATTCGGTATAGGTTTTAAATTGATTAGAGTAGAAAGCTTATCCTCAGGGTATTAGAGCAAATTGGAATTCATATAGTTTTGTGTAGTTTGAGTATATTCTAGTATAGAATCTGGATCTAGCGAAAAGGTTAATAAAGCTATATTGTATTTGTAGGATATAATTGATATATACTATCGCATTCCATTTAGATCAAAGTCGATTTGATACAAATAGCCAATCGCTGTGTATCTAATTATTAATTAAATATTAAAAGAAATGTAATGAGCTTTTCTCAATTCTATATATACAAATATTCATATTATTTTTATAATTGAATTTAATATAATAAGCTGCAAAGTCATTATATTCAATCCGTATCACTATGAGTCTATATAATATTCTGCGAGAGAGCTTAAGGCTTTCCGATTTCAAGATATCATATACTGGTTTTTATGTATTATATATTTCAGAGATTAGATTCCTTTTTTTTTTTATTATCTATTCTTAGAGTATTGATATTTGATATATAGGATAAAGCAGGAACTGCTAACTATAAGAAGACAGGATGGGTTAGGGTTAAGCAATTCAGTTGTGTTTTAATTAATAAGGTAATTGATTGCCTTATTACCTTTAATCTCAATATACCCAAAGGACTATTTGATTATAATATTGTAGTGTTACATTGTTTAATAGTATTTGTAATATATTTATTAAAAAAAAACAGCAATGCTTTCTCATATTCCCTAAATTACTAAAATACTATCAATATATAACCATATTTGTTCCTGGTAAAGGTAATTAATGATACTCAGGAGATATTTTAGTCCCCGCTACACGCTGATTGTCTTAGTATCAAAAACATGCAACTATTTGTATATACAGTTGTAGCCACTATTAATCTATTGCTTGCCATAATAAATTGCAAAGCTGTACCTTATACAGTAATTGTGTTTGTTATATTGTTCAAACCTGTCTGAAAACATAGAGTAGTCTTCTTGGGGAATTAAATTCTATTATTCCTTAAATGTTTTTGCAATATCCTCTTTGTCCATACTATTTGTTGAATCGGTACGGTATTTGGGAGAGAAATGAAATTGTAAGAGTCTGAGATGCTTGGTGGCAGGGATTATTCATTCTATTCTTTGCAGTTTTGTATTGGAACCTTTCAGAGTATCTGTGCTTTATTCTCTCTTCCTGATGTATAGCTTCAATCGGTTTATAAGTAGGTATTGTGCATTTACTATCTGAAGCCGAAACACAAATCTCAATCTGGCTTACTTTAGTATAACAATTTCAGTTAGAAGACTAGCTTCTATAAGGAGTGTGATTGTTGGGATCGTTTTGTAGATAGGTAAAGCTCCCCATATCACATTGTGAATCGTTTTGCTGACTAGATTGATATATTTCTTGATCCCGGTACTGATTGGAATATAACCTGTATTTGGGTATTGTTTATATAGCTCATTAAACTATACTTCAGAACCAAAAAGAACAACAGGGAATACACAGATAATAATTGCTTTTCGCAAACAGACTATAAATAGTCTGTAGGCTATATAAGCTATTAATTGGATATAGGATATAATATATATAGCTTTCGCAATACACATTTTGATATACTATAGAAATATTAGATATTAATCAAAAAAAACGCCAAGTTAATATAAGATTGATTATACTCCATTAATAAACCCTAAAGAGATTAATATAATAACTAAATCCCAACTTATCCTTATAACCAGGTTTGCAATTTCATATTTCCTTGATATATAAAATAATTCAAACTTTTTCGAAACGAAAAAAACCTTATTCTGATTTCCCTATTATAGAATACATTAAATAGTTTAGCAAAGCATATATATATTTGTGGATAGATTCTTAGATATATAATATATAACTATATCATCAGTATATCCAAAGTACTATACTCTATCTTGATTAAGAAGCTTAGCAAGGTAAAGGGTATATTTTTTATTTTATTTATTTATTTATAGTGATTAACGTCTTGTAGAGGACCTCCCGAGGGGTATGAAAGACGTGGCTAGATCTAGAGTTACAAATACAGAAAGGCGCTGATGCGCACGCTAGTAAAACCTCACAGGGTAAACCCAGTTCCTTCTATATATCCTAAACAAGCCAGTGTAATGATCGCAAATAGGGCCGTTTTTGATTGGCCCCATATTCCTAGCGCTTCCTTCTGCTCATGGAGAGGAGCGCTCTGATTGTACAATTACTTCTGTCATAGAACCATGTTTTATGGACAGGAGCGGTGTGTACAGGTGTGCCGCTTCAAAGAAGCGGGTGTGTGTGTGATGGTGCTCCAGAGGAGCGGAGGATTCGGCTATTGGGCCGCTCGAGAGGAGCAGCCGGAACGATGGTTCCGCTGAGTAGCGGAATGGCGCATAGGCGCAGTGGTGGCGGCTGGAGGGGGGATCAGTTCCCCCTCAGCATTCGATCGATCGCTTTTGCGGCCCATAATAGAAAAGCTCTATTAGGGTTAGCGGTAGATTGTCGGAGCTCAGTGGAGCTGTGTCAGGAGGTCCACACTAAGGTGGCCTATGAGGCGGCATATAGGGTGGATCCATGTGGATCAGATCGCTATAGCCATAAGTCGTAGAACAGTAGGAGAGTGACCCGATCACTCTACCACTGAACCAGCCAGGCTCCTTGCGGAGGACAATGGTCTTTTTGTCAGGTAAAGGGTATACAGGATAGAGAAAAGTGATAATCCCTAGGGAATACTATATACAACCAGGAAATTCTGTATTATAATCTCTTTAAGCCTTACATACACACATCTCCCAGTCAGAAATGAATTAATAAGTTATAAGAATACTATAGACTAATCCTGTTTCTTTATATATTATAGAAACTGTTTTTTAAGAAGTACATTATAAATATTTTGTACATCTATTATTATTAATATAACTATTTTGCTAATTACTAAAATAAGCTCAATATTATAAATAAAGGTAATTGTGAAATCAATACCGGCTTTTTTCGATAATGCTTTATAATACTGAGAGCTGATAATGTTATATCTTATAGCTATTTATATAATTTGATTAGCAATATATTTTTCTAGTCCTTTTTTAATATACAATATTAATATAATCAGCCTTTATAATCTCGGGAATATCCTATCCTTCTTATCAATCTTAGATAATATAATTACTTCAATAAATTTCCATTTGTTAGAATAATAATTAAACTTAAGGTAGGCTATAAAAATCTCATGTATTATACTTTTTATATTAAGCTAGTACATTTTGAGAAAACGAACAATTACTTAATCAACTCCGGATAACATACTTCTAACTCCTATTATATATTTTTCCATTTCCTTTATGATAATTATTCTTTTCTATAATAAGGTTATCTAATAGTTCTATTTTTATAAAAAGTTGTATTATAAATCATCCAATACTTTGAAGCAATCGAATATTGTTATAAAAAGTACTTTGACTTTTTCCTTAATATCAATAATCTCCTAGTTTTCAATTACCAGAGAAAAAGCTTTGAGACTTGCTTTTAGGGTTAGCTTGTACCAGTTCATGACTTTATATAGTTCCTAATTATCCTATACATCATCCAAGTATTTAGTTCAATAGACTCATTTTAATACTTGCATAACCCTTTATAGATTTTGCTAGACAATTGCTATTCTATTAATAATTCTAGTTCTTCTGGTTTATATATATATTCAATATACCTCCTTACACTCATCAATCCACCAC